CCTCAAATGATGGTTAACCATGAGTACAAGTATTTCTTTGAGTGTAGAAAACACTCGTGCTGGTAACCTATCCTTGTTTGGATTATATCAAAACAATCTCCACCTTAGTGAGCATCTGAAAAGAGAAACTGGGACAAGAACTACTTTGTCATGAATCCAAAAAGTCTTGTATGGTTTTCAAACACCTTGGACAGTGTACAAGCCCAACCATCAATTAAACTTGATCCACTAACTGGCCATGTCAACATCTATGCAGACCTTACTCAGTTGATACTTTCTTAACTTTCACATCTCCACTGCATGTAATTTCTTGACCAAAATGATACCAGACCCAAATGTGTTTGGTCCGTTCATGGTACATCAATTCTTTGTCAAGTGAAAGCACTGTCTATCACAAAATGCTATTTTCTCCTTTTGCTCTTTCCCAAGATCATTAACTAGACCTTTATGCCGTAAGACTTCTTTTACTGTCTAGTAATAGCCATGTACAAAGCCTCTATGTAGATAACGCAACCGTGAATTACAAAATTGCCCAGCCTGAGGGGGTAAAAACATGTTACTGATCGTCCTTTGTCTAATTCACCATTAAAGCTCAGAGTAAAAAAATCCTAGAACTTTTCCAGTATGATCAAATTTCCAGCCATAAGCTAATCCAATATCCATGGTGCTAGGTAAGTACCAGTGTTCCAGTTCACAGCCCACTGCTGTTCCTGACTGGCGAGCCATGTACAGGCTAAACATTTTGACAGCACGTGCTACATATGGTCAAGTAAAAACCATTATATATATTAAATTCCTGACCGTAGTTACATATAGGACACCTTCCACGTACTTTTCTTCCTCCTCAATCTTGTGATAAATAGATGGAACCTTGAATTGTACAGATAACAAGTAATCAGGGCTCTGGCTTACTGAAAATCAGAACATTAAAGCAACTTTTGAATGTGTTGCTTATGAGACATGATAGACTCCCAACCTCAGTTCCTGTGAATTTCTGTCCCAAGAATTTTTCTTATTGTACCAAGCCTTGCATTTAAAACTCACCATCATTCTTCAAAATATCAAGAAGCAATATGCTTTTAATAGCAATAAGCATGTCATCAATATACAATAACAAGTAAACAAAAATGATCATATGAAGAGCTTCCTGTGAGATATACAGCTACCATGATGACAATGACTATTACCCATTGTTATTCACGAAAATCTCTAATCCTATATATATCTCTACTGAGGAGCCTATTTTATATATCTTTTCTTTCTGGATTAACAAACCCTTCTCACTAAGACATACTTTCATCCAACTCACCAGGCAAAAAGGCTATCCTACATCAAATTGTTCCAACTTTAGATCATAAGCGGCAAGCATGGAAAACATAAAACATAAAACATAAAGGATCCTAAATTTTGGGCTGAATTTTCCTCTACATCCTCTTTTGACTTTGTTCGAGAGTGAGTTGAATTGCACTCGATGCACACTCCATCATGTCTGCTTTCTCCATGTACATTAGAGAATGTAACAGTGTCTCTTTGCCTTCCAACTACCGTAAGTTAAAATTATTGCCACTATCCGAATTCTGAGTTCTCAATTTTGTACTTTCTTGCTAATGCCATCATGAGCAAATAAATATGGATAACCCACCACAACTGGGCCAAACACTGCCAACTGTGGCCCTTACACCAATTTGCTATAATTTGATACAAAGTTATTAGCTTTGGTACCAAGCGATTAGATAAATTGTTTGGATGACTACCAAGAAACACAAAAGTTCATATAGGAACCAAGACATGTTCCAGAAAAAAGAGGAGAAAAGATTTAACATGATTTGGCTTTTTAGCCTACTCCACGGATAACACACAGAGAAATTTCATACCATTTGAGAAATATAGACTCTTTGCGACTCAAACACACTCAAGCCAATCCTAATTTCCCCNNGAAAATACAAGTCAGACACTAATTTTTGCCATCATTGTACGAATAGTTTCTTCTGTTCTTCACTAACTACACTCTCTACACTCCACTTGCAGTTGGCTTGCACCCATGCTTCAATTCAACAAATGAGGAGGTATCTATAGTTGGACCCAAGCCTCAAACCCTCAACAATCTGAGTGTGGGATAAGTTAATAATTGAATGAAAAAGTTAAAACAAATAATATGTTGAACATAAGTAAATCAAACTCTTAGGCATAATCAAAGCAATTTCCGTTAAGTGATGGTTAGCCATGAGTGCAAGTAATCTATTTGGGTGTAAAACCCATTTTTTCAATGGTGAACAACACTTGTTTGGATAATGTCACAACACTAATGTTCATAAAGTCTAACCAAACTCAAGGAAATTGTCAAATCTACTAACTGGTGTAGTTCCAGTTAACTGCAATGCAATCTTGAGGCCTACTTGGAAAATTTTAGTGTCTTGATCTGGAGTGAGACGATTCGTTTTTGTTTCCAATTGTTTGAAATGCCTAATATTCTTCCAGAGTACCATGTTGTCTTAATTTCACAATTTCTCTCAACATATTGGTCCTAACCAGTGGTCCGAATCACAAATTTCTTTGGTATTTGAGACCCCCCAAGGAAATCATTAATCAATCCCTTTCTGACTTCAAGAAGCATAATTGTGCTTCTACTTCCAAACGGAAAGAAGTCAATCATGGTTTCTCTTCTTCAGATGTAATACGATGATGAAGAAAGTGTACACACCAGTTTTAGCCACTGCTCCATATCTTGGGAAATCTAATTTTCAATATTTTGGAACAAAAGGAGCAGCACCATGATTCTCAGCCCCATCGTCCCTCCTTTCACATTGTCCCCTCCTTTCTTTATTTCAACTCTGCCCTCTGGTCAAACAGTGGATAGATGTGACAATTCTTCCATGTGATCTGCCTAGACATGCTGTTTTTCAGCAAATGCAACCTGGGCTTGCTCCCATTGAAGACGATCTTGTGTCCTAACTTCCCAGTACAATTTGAAGAGTCCCTTATTGTTGTTTCAAAGATCAGATTTCACCCATAACCACCTGTGCTAATACCATAATGGTATGCTCCTTCCACCTAGATCTATTATATGCCCTTGTAGACTAAAATCAGACTGAGCATTACCAGAATGCTTCTGGTTCTTTCTCTTTCTGACCTAAATTAACTAAATATCTTGGGCCTGTTCAAGAGAACCATCTCCGAGAGTTAAGCACTCACGAAAGTTAATGATTTCTTCTTATTCATTTGGGAACAGCCATTTCGGCTTACAATAAGAACATTAATAACTGCCTGTTATTGCTCCTTGAGAATAGCAAGTCTGACAAGATTATGTCGAACATATAACTATTGCACATAACTGAGAATAAATAAAACAACAAACTGTCAGATAAACAAACCATAAAAACAAACTGATATATTTTATATATATATTTGAAATAAAATTAAAACAAACATATCATATTAGGGCAATCTGTCAATAAGTTTCTGACTGAGTGATGACTAGGATCATAACAAGGTGACATCCCATGAGTTTGAGAACTTAAGTCACATGAGCTTGCGTGTATACCATTTACTATGAAAGCCCAGAAAAGTGTGCTTTCAACATTTAATATTAAAAAATCAATGCTAGTAAGACTTACACAAGGCAATCGCTAGTTTAGCTTCTATTACTTGTTTTCTATTGGCAGATTAAATATCATGATTTGCAGATTGTAACTTTAATTCGCTGTTAAAGATGATTGGTTCTAGGAAATAGGAGATATCAGATTTCTTCTGCACATAATTAATTACTCACCTGAAATTGGCCACACTGTCTTAAAGATGGACAAACTGCAAGTATAAAATACTCAAAATGTCAGGTTTTGTGCATAAGATTTAATACATTTTTCTTCTGACTCAGTAAATAAATGGACTGAAAGACCTAACTCTGCAAATGAGTGGGTACCAGCTACTTGTCAGATATGACAATATAGAGGATCAATAGAAAGGGAACAAATATATGAGATGATAGAGTTTTTTTCCCTCCAACATTCTCAGAAAATACAAGAAAAATGAAGAACATGTCAAAGAAATGGCAAAAGTTTCATAGAACAATGCATCTTATATTGGGAGAAACTTTAACCATAAAAATAAAAAAAAGAAGAGGTAAGTTTGGTATCAGTTGTTATACATTAGCGACTTATTCCTACTTCTCTACTCCAATAATTAAGGAAGTCAAGAATTACCATTGAGATCAAACAATGGGTGATTATAAACTCACAAAAGAAAAGCAACAAAGCATATACCTATCGGCAGTGATCTCAGAAAACTTTTTCGGGCTCCACGACATCACCAAGTTCCCTACACAAAGCAAGCTACCCTCGTGCCGAACCTTATTGACTGTGAATCCTGTGTCATCATATCTAAAAGAACAAAATGCGACAGAAATGCTAAGCAACATGCTGATAAAATTAGACCTATTTCATTTTGTTTTTTTCTTCATTATCAGTCAAATTTATGTTTGGACATAGTTTTAAAAGAAACTTTAGCGTGGAGACTCGAGGAATGAAAGCCGTCACTCCATCTAGAAAGCCAGATAACATATAGAGTATGATAATTCAGAAATTTGATATTTCATTGATGTCTCTATACATACATACATACATATGTACATATTCCACCATTTATTTGGGTAATATATGAGAAGGGTATCAAAATATGGAGTATAGAAAACAATTGGAAAGAGGCATATGGGATGCGATTATACGAATGAACAAATTTTCTTGACATGGAAATTTTGAGAGAGAAAAGAACATCGAGGAACCGGATGAAGAGAGAGAGAGAGAGAAGGGATACCCTTGAAAGCGAAGCTGATCATCGGGGACGTTATCAATGAGATTGATTTGATCATAAAGAGAAAAAGCTCTTCTCAAAGACGGCAAAGTTTGGTTCTGTTGCCTTGTCGCTTCCTTCCTGAGACTTTGTATCAGCTTTGGCAAGGTTGCCATCCCCCTCTGTCTCACTGCCATTCTCGCTAGCTCTTTCTCCCTTCGGAAAATGAAGCTCCCCTACTTTTGTTTTTCCCTTTTTTTTAAATTACATTGTAAATTACCCATTCTTCCACGACTGGTTGTATAATTTTTTGCCAATTATTTTTATTTATATTTTTAAATACATCATATAATTTTTTACTGATTCAATTATAATTTTTAATATTATAATTTTTTTTTATTTTTTTAAATTATCAATTCCATAATTTTACGATGGTTTGATTTTTTTTTTATTATACCCTTAAAAAAATTTATTTACTAAATTACCCTTATTTTCACTCTAACCTACAACTTCCTAATTTTTTATTTTTTCTCTCATAGATTCTCTCTCTCTCTCTCTCTCTCTCTCTGGATATCATGTAATATTTTAATTATATATATATGTATATATTTAACTAAATATATTTACATATCTCTATATTTAATACTACATATTTTTTTAATCTTTTTTTATTTATTACTATATTTAATAAAGTATGAGCAACATAAATAATTTTCTCAAATATACAACCATATCATATTGTCAATCCAAACAAAAACAGTTATTACTACTACATATTAATAGACCATCATCTAAATATAGTTAAATTTGAACATTAATGAATCTTACACATACCGAACTGTACCTAACATTAATGAACTATTATACAAATCATTTAATCATGTCCAAAGTCACAACAAATTAACACATGATTTAAAGGTCAAGTAACTTTTATTTTAATTCAACTAACAAATGTATTCATAATTTTATTTTAATTCCTAATTTCTTTTTGTTTCAAATTGGCCCTAAAATTTTGAAAGTCTTACAAAAACTAATTAAAACCAAAATAGCATCCAAAACGTTAACAAAGAAAAAAACTAGAATCAACCATGGTCTTTGCTTGCTCTCGCAACATTCCAAAAGAAGTAGATAACTCATTTATATAGTACCTCTTTTCCATAGTTGAATATACATACTTCACACATTTTCTGTGTGGTACACTAGGTGACATGACATTAAAGACATTGTGCAATCCTTACACTTGAAAATATAATATATTAATTAGAACAAATAGCAAATTAGAAGGTAATTTAACTCATTAAGATGACATATAGTACCTTCAACTGGTTTGATATAGATGTATATTTTTTCTTAGCATTAATATCTAACATTTAGGAAGAGTGTGTCAAAAACTATGTCTAAGTATTTGTTTTTTCATCCCCAACCACTACATATGCAATTGGAAACAAGCTATCATTTTCATCAATTCTAATTTATCGCCAAAAGTTGATCATGTGTTGGGGTTTGATGTAACAACCATCCCCATATTCAATTATGGCTTACATGCTACCAAACATTTACATATCCATGCCTTAAGAGTAAATATATGTCCTCTTGAATTATAATGGTGATGATGGGTCAATCCTACCATATTCAATTTAAACTAAACTTTCTGAGTTTGATCTTAAGATCTCCTCACTATAATCATGGATTCTTTTATATTGTTCATCCAACCCATTATATTTTGCCAACATTTAGTATAAAGTTTTCTTTAAGATCACTGACCATGGAGCTTGCCTTGTAATTAGAATCTAACATAGCAATGTTTGTTACTAGTTGGCTAGGTACATGAATGATCTGACCCCAAATGCTTAATCTGAAAAGTATTGTTGTCTTTGAGTCATGAAGCATGTAAATGATGTTCCCAACCTTGTTGAGCATATTTGAAGTCTATTTTTATTATTTTTCACGTATTTTGTCATTAATTTATAAATCACTAAGAATTTTGTGATTGCCTCCTTTAACACTCTCATTGAAGTGAGCTTATTCCAATTACAATCGGATATTTAAAATCTTAGTGTAAGGGTTATTAGCAAGGAAATGAGGTCCACTTGCATCATCCTCATGAAAGTTTGCACCCAGTAGATCATCCAAATTTGCATAGTCTAAATTGTTTGGTATATTTCTTCCTCAGTCAATTATCAAGTCTTCCATCTAGATCATGTGTTGATCACCGAGTGTTCTCTTAACAAACACCGTTTTAATGCTTTTATCATGTCACTCCTACCCCTTTATCTCATCTCATCATCATCACTATCATTTATGTCATCTCCATTTAAATCTTTCTCGTTATCACCATCTTCTGAATCTTCTCCATCACCACCATCTTCTAAATCTTAACCACTATCTTCAATAAGTTCTTCATCATTTGCATAATATTCCATACCACCAATATCTTCATTAGGAGCCTCATCATCAACAGGTTCCCCAGCATAAGTTTTTATATAAATTTTAGTGTTGTCTTTAATAATAACCTCATCACCAGCTTCATTACCTATATTAGGAATATCACTAAACCAGCCAAGTAATAGCATAGGTTTGATTCGTGCAATTTTTTTTGTGATTTTGAACTCAAAAATTGCTAAACATAAATGTCAATCATTTTAGAAAGGGATATACAGTTATACATGTTCTGAGTAAATTAATCGATTGGAAAATCTCTTAGTTCATTTTAAAGAGTCTTCCTAACTTCTAAATAGAAAATCTCCTCACAAACCCAAATGGTCATGTCATTCATGACATCAAACATCAAAAACATTAATATTATGTATGGATCAACTTGTGTAATAATTCTTGTTTTCGTTGCATATACTTTGCTTTTGGTATAATTGTTAGAAAACCACTTTGATGAACTCACAATGTTATTTTATCTATGTCAACTTAAAAAGGAAACAATATTGTATTACAACGATTTGAAATCAAGATTAGAAAATAAACATTTATAAATAAAAATATTACATTTCAATACTTGAAGTTGGTTCATTGTCACATTATGTCATATTAGTAAATTGATAGAAATTTTGGGGACTAATTTATCACATTCTACTAAGATAACGAAAAACAACATTAATAAATTAGTTCTTGTTTCATTATATATTTAGACATGCAAGAAATGTATTTATTTCTTTCTACACATGTGCATTCAAAAAGTAATAACAAAAAATTACAAAAAACATGGGCACATTTTTCATACCAAAAATATTTTTCAGATTTCTCATTTCTACTCACTTTAAATAACAAAAATTAAAACCTACAATATTTTCATATCCATAACATTATTCAAAAGAGTGAACAGAAGACAATTGTAACTTGCTTTTAGACAACTTTACCCTAACACATACATGACTTCTCATGACTTTTCGAGGTGATTTCATATTCCAGCATAGTAAAGCAAAAGTTTCTCTTAATTGCAAGTTTCACTTCGTGCAAGACTTAATTTTAAGTAAGAGAATATTCTTAGAAAGTTTTGCTCATTTTATTCCCAATAGCCTTTATTATATAAAAAAAAATATGACTTTATTTATAAAGCTTGAAGTGATAAAAACACTTATAATTACCTAAACTACATTTGATTAGTTTCAAGCAATTTTCTTTTCTATGAATACCATTTTTAATGTTTGTCGGGATTCCACTTTAACATATAGGAAAAATATTAAAGTTAAAATAATTTTAGAGTAATTTTGTGTAATCAAAAGATTGGGAGCAGAGTTTAAAATTAAAAAAAAAAATGTGGGATAGAATTGGAATTTCAAAAAAGAAAAGAAAAGTTTTAGAAAAAGACAAGAGAGGGTGTTGGGGAGAGAGAGAAGAAGAGGTTGATAGAGATATGGTGTCATGGAAGAGAAAATAAAAGAGTTTGAAAAAGAGAGAAAATTCTTAAAGAGAGAAAGAGAGAGAGAGAGAATACAGAGATAAAAGGAGTATTTTAGAGAGAGATTGGTTTTAGAGAGAGAAATAGATTGTGGAAAGAGAAAGAAGTTGTTGGAGAGAGAAATATATAGAGATAGAAGAGATAACAAAGAGAAGAAAAAGATAGAGACCGGGATAGACAAAGGATAAAGTTATTTGAGATTTATTTTCAAAAGATTACGTAATGATTTTGATTTAAGTATATATATGGGGAATAATACATGAATCATTTTCTCGAACTGTTAATCATTGCCATACACCAGAAGCTGCCATTCGGAGAAGCATTTTCATCCCATTAGTTGTATCGCATGGATGAAGAAGATGAA